GACCTTCTCCGCTCTCGGTGGGTGCCGAGGTCCTAGTCCGCAGGCTCAAGGAGGGGAGCTGCCATGGAAGAGAGTGTGTTCAGCGTGCAGCAGATACAGCCCAACGTCATCTCGGTGAGGCTCTTCAAGCGCAAGGTGGGCGGCCTTGGCTTCCTGGTGAAAGAGCGCGTCAGCAAGCCGCCCGTCATCATCTCGGACCTGATCCGGGGCGGGGCTGCGGAGCAGAGTGGCCTCATCCAGGCTGGGGACATCATTTTAGCCGTCAATGGCAGGCCCCTGGTGGACATGAGCTATGAGACCGCGCTGGAGATACTGAGAAGCATCGCCTCCGAGACCTACGTGGTCCTCATCCTGCGGGGCCCCGAGGGCTTCACCACTCACCTGGAGACCACTTTTGCAGGCGACGGGACACCAAAAACCATCCGTGTCACCAGACCCCTCTGCTCACCTCCGAAGGCAGTTGACTTGTCCAACCCAAGCCCGCACGGCAAAGAGCAGCCGCTGCCAGGAGCCGACCACGCTATGGGCTCCCTGTGGACAAGAGAGATCGGGCGGGAGGTGGAGCCGATGGTCCACATTAACGGCGTCGTTACTGGCAGCAAAGGGCAGGACGCTGGGAAGGGGAAGGAGGGGGCCTGTGGCCACCCTTGCCTCAACGGCGGCGTGGAAGACAATGAACTGCTCAAAGAGATTGAGCCCGTCCTGGATCTCCTGAAGAGCAGCAGTAAGGACAGCGGTGGAGATGCACCCTCCAAGGTAGAGACAAGAGATATAGAAGTCCAGGTGGACTGGTAGGTCCCTAAATACATTTTTTTTATATTTGGTGAAATGTGCTGGTTTTGGCTACCCAGCGTGGCTGGTTTAGGTGGCGGTGGGCACCTGGCCAGAAATGGCTGCTGTCTGACACAGCGGGATGGAGGTGGGGAGGAAGAGATGCAAAAAAAGGGGGAAGTGGTTGATGAGAGGAAGAGAAAAGGGATGAAAAACTGGGAATAGATGGTGGAAGAAAGGGAGAGAGATGTAAGCGTGGGAAATTGGGGAGACAGCCGGAGGAATGTGTCATGGAAAGCTGAGCCATGTGACAGAGCGGATCATGGGCTGGGTTTTGTTTCTGTTCCGTGTTTTCTAATTTATTGTAAGCTTTAAACAACCCCCCGTGCCTCAGTTTCCCCATCTGCCAAATAAGATTCACGGTATCGTCGGTCTTTGCCGATTTGGAGCTCTTCCCTTGAAATCTGCTATTGATGAACTGCCGGAGAGGGAGGAGGAAGGTCAGACCGGCGGAGTACGGTGCTTCCCAGGAGAAACCAGTTTCAAAACCTTCTGTGCTTTGGCAGCCAGGCTCTGGCTCTGGGGAGGGGAGAGGGGAGCCCCGCTCCAGCTCCAGCCGAAGCCCAGGGGACCCCAGCGCAAGGGCGGCGGGACCTGCCTTGGGTGCTCCTGTTTTCTGGGAAGGGGCGAAATGTTTCCTGCCGAGAGCTCCGGAGCGGCCATCCCGCGGTGAAAC